AAATGAGATGACATTGCAGATCAAAGCATACTATTTTTGCTCTTTTGTGTGTGTGTTTTTTGTTCTGTTGCTTCTTTCACAACACAACTAATACAGAAGTGTGTTTCACATGATTGCACATCTACTACCTATATCAGGTCGCTTCCCTCTTAGGGAGTAGGGGAGGGGAGGGAGGGAAAGAGAAATTCTGGAACTCAAAATTTTATGAAAAAATGTTAAAAAATCAATAGAGTGAGGGCTGGGCCTGGAGTCTGGAAGACCTGAGTTTAGATGTGGCCTCAGACACTAGCTGTGTCACCCTGGGCAAGTCACTTGGTCTTTGCCTATCTCCGTTTTCTCATCTGCCAGATGTGCTCTGAAAACAAGTGATAGCCCACTAGACCATATCCCTTTCACCTTCCTTTGTCCGAGCAAATCTGTATAATAATGCCATTTACCTCACAGAGGGGCTGTCCTAAGGTTCAGATGGGATGGTATTGATAAAGCACTGAGCCCAGTAGCTGGCACGTAGTCAGCTCTGCTCCTTCCCTGCACCTAACTAGGTCCTTTTAGATAAGGAGAGATTCTAATTAGGGGCTGATGGGAGGGGAACCCGACAGCAGAACTTCTGTGGCTACATCAAAGGGAATGGTGGAGGACTGCTGCATTCTGGGCAGGCAGTCCGAGGAAGGGCCCAGGGGCTGGAGCACTGCGAAGGTTGGTGTCGGGTGTATGAGTGAGAAGAACCCGCTATCAGACTGGGGGAGACACACAGGACCTTGAACCCGGGGGGGGGGGGGGATTCAAAAGCTTTGCTTTTTCTGCTGTAATAGCTATCCCCCATTTCAGCACAAGAGGGCAGCATTGCCTCACTCCCGGAGCCCTTAGAGACTAGTACAGGTGGACGTCCATTGCTCCCTCTTTAGAGAGCATCTTTAGGACTTCATTCTGCAAATCTGTCCTGAACCAGCCCTATATGATGGACCCCACCAGCCAAACAGAAGCAGAGCCTGGGCTCTGGGGAGCTGACACTGCCCACCTTCCCCTTCTGCTTGGTGCTCCCATTTTGCATGTCACCTTATGACCTACTGAGGCAGATAGATGGTTCAGTGGATAGAGCGCTGGGTCTGGAGTCAGGAACACCTGAGTTCAAATCCAGCCTCAGAAACTTACCAGCTAAAATGACCTGGAGAAGGAAATGGCAAGCCACTCTCATATTGTTGCCAGGAAAACCCCATGGTGTGATATGGTCCACGAAGCCATGATGAGTCAGACAAACTGAACAACAATAACAACACATGATCTACAGCAACAGGAGGTCAAGGATACTGCCAGTCCCTGGGCCTAGTCCAGGACCTGGAATCAACTTAAGCCCTTACTCTTTTCAAGGAATAAAACTTCACATGCACTAATTGCCCTCACCCCTCCCTTCCTTCCTTATGTTATCTTGCCCCAAGGTATTCTGGTGTACTGGGTGGTTAAATCCTTTAAGGCACGGTATCTGTAATTAAAGAAATACTGCTTTGATATGGTAGTAAGTAACCATGAATCCTTTGCAGCCTTAATAAATGAGTCATCCTCCTGACTTATTCAGGCTATTTTCCTAGTGAAGAAAAGGAAAGGAGAGAAAGGGAATGACTGGCTCTAAGTCACAGAGCTTACAAATTATAGAGCTGCACTCTCAGCTCAGAGCTCCCTACCTCTCTAACTCTCATCTTATTGGAACTTCAGAACCTGCACCTAAGAGCTATTTCATAAGGACCTTCTCATTCATCTGAGAGGAGGGGGAGAAAGTCTGAGAAGAGAGGTGGAAGAGGGCTCATGGTTTATGGAGAGCACAGGTCTCACCTTCAAGAGAAAATACATGGTGAGGGTGGATGGATCACTAGACTTGGAGTCAAGGAAGAACGGAGTTTGAATCCTGTCTTAGATACTTGTGTGACCTTGGGGACGTTACTCAGCCTCATTTTCCTCATCTGAAAAATGGGGATAAAAAACTATGTAGACTTTAAAGAGCTATATAAATGCTAGCATTATTATCTTATTCAAAGGGAAGCGACATGAGAAGGTGGAAATCACCTTGGTCTAACGTACTAACTCCGATACTTACAGCGTAATAGTGGTTGGACAGGGTATGTGAAAAGCCATTCAGCTCTGCCCTTTTCAATCGCTGTTATGTTAGTTTTGAGATCTGCATGAGTCTCAAATGGGACTTAGCAATGGGAATAGCAATGTTTGTCTCACCCACTTCACAGGATCACTCACTGTGAGGCAAATGTTTTGTAAACTTAAAACATACAGTAGAAATGAAAGTTGTTGTCATGGAAAGGACAAACACTGAAATCAGAGAAGTGAATTCAAGTTCCATCTCTGCTCTCTGCTACTGGTGTGACTCTGAGGCCTTAGATTCTCTTCCTATAAAACGGGTTGGATGAATGGGTTCCTAACCCTGTTTGTATCATGGAGCCCAGACCTAGGGGATAGTCTGAGGAAGCCTATGGACCACTGCTTAGAATCATGGTTTTAAATGCAAAAATTATATACAAAATACAAACAAATTAAATAATAAATAAATGATTAAATAACAAATACATTATATGGAAACACAATTATCAAGTTATTTTAAAAATAAGTTTCGGAGTCCAGGTGAGAGCACCTGATAATGTGACCTCTAAGATCTCTTCCAGCATTAATATTCTGGGAGCCTCAGACTGTTTGACTTCCTTTTACCTCCCCTCCTTTCCTAGCCCCATACATTGCACATGGAATGAGCTGGTTTTTTTTTTCTTTAATGTGTTGGTCAATAGCTTGTCAGGAAGTGAAGCTCATACACACAAAAATCTTAAACAGAAGCTCTTAGCCTGTGGTCTGAGAACTTTTTTTTAATACTTCAATGACAGTATTTCAATATCAGTAGGTTTCCTTCGTACTCCTATATGTTTTATTTTATGCATTTAAAACCATGCTTCTGAGAAGGGGCCCATGGGCTTCATCGGACGTTGCCCAAGAAGTTCATGATAAACAAGGTTAAAAATTTCTGGACTGGGACTTGAGAAGGAGTGATAGCGCACCTTTGGGTGTTCTTTCCAAAGTGCAAGCCCTTTCAACTTCTCAATGACTCTGGTAAACTTTTACCATCCCATTCCCATCTTTCAGGGCCCAAGACATCCTGCATCAGTAGGGGTGGAGAAGATGGCTTGAGGAGGAAATGCTTTCCAGATGAAGTCCAGGGAAAAACCCACAAAAAGAACAGAGAAGTCACTGGGTTAAAGTCCACGCAAAAGCATAGCAGTAGTGAATGCAGGGCCAGCTAACCCAGCCTGGAATGAAGGAAGATGAGTCAGCCCTTTTCATAAGGCTCTTATTCTATATGGGCTAATGAGACTGAAGCATAGTGGTGAAGGGAGGGAGGGAGGGAAGGAGCAGGTATTTATTAAGTACCTACTTGGTGCCAGGCACTGTGCTAAGCACTTTATAAATATCTCATTTGATCCTCACCTGGGAGGTAGATGCCATTATTATTACCATTTTACAGTTGAGGAAACTGAGGCAGACAGAGCTCAAGTGACTTGCCCAAGGTCTCACAGCTAAGAAATGTCTGAAGCCAGACTTAAGTCTTATTGACTATCCACTGCACCACCTAGCTGCCTTCTAAGATGGGAAGGTGTGCACATTTAAGTACATGCAAAGCAAATGCAAAAGGGTAATTTTGTGGAGAGGAGAAATAAATAAGTAGCAAGAGGGATTGAGAGAAGCTTCAGGGAGGAAGTATTGCTTGAGTTGTTTGGAAGGAATCTAGGGATTAATTCTAAGAGGCAGAGGGAAGGAAGGAATATATTCCAGGCGTAGGGGATAGTCAATGCCACAACCCAGAGCCAGGGCATAAGATAACATGTGCAAGGCACAAAAAAGGAGGCCAAGTTTAGCTGGATCATCTAGTAGAGAGAAGGGAATAATGAGAAAGACATTGGGAAAGGGAGATTGTAAAGGGCTCTAAGTGCCAAGCAGGGAAGCTAATATTTGATCTTAGAGGCAATGGGGAGCTGATGAGTGTATCGAAGAAGGGGGTGATGTAATTTGAACTGGTTTAGAAAATTTGCTTTAGAAAAACCACTTTGGCAGTTCGGTGGAGGATGGCTTGGAGAAGGAAAAGATTTGAGTCAGGGAGACCATTTAGAAGACTCTTGCAGAAGTAATGAAGGCCTGGACTGAGGTGGTGACTGTGGTCAGTAGAGAGAAGGAAATGGATACAAGAGATGTTGAGGAGGTAGGAATGATGAGATCTGGCAACTGATTGGACGTAAAGAAGAGAGGGAAAAGTCAAAGATAACCTCGAGGTTGAAAACCTGGGTTCCTGGAAGGCTGGTGGTATCATTGATAAATGAGGGACCTTCAGAAGAGGGATGGGTGTGGTAGAAAAGTTAATGAGTTCTGTTTTGCACATACTGAGTCTATGTCTACTCATTGTCTCTATAGACTGTAGTCTAGACCAGGGGTGAGGAACCTTTGCCCTTGAGGCCACATTGGCTCACCCCTGGTCTAGTCACTATTTCTAGTGAGGTGTCTTTGGGGCAACCAGTCTCCTTAACTTGGATGGGAAAAAAATTAACCTTTTTAAAAAAATATAAATTGATTTCTTTCGTTAACGCTGTGTATTTGATTACATGCATTTTGAAACTTGATTCTGAAGAGTCCCTAAACCCTCCAGCTTGCCTCTCAAAGTGACCATGACATAAGTGCCTGGCATTTGATAAGCAAATCATCTATGCCAGGTGTGGCCTTAAGGCCGCAGGTCCCCCACCCCTGAGTGCTTTTATCTAGGTCAATAATTAAAAGGTCCAATAGCCAGGGTCAACACAGATCCCCAAGGAGCTCCAATAGAGAGACGTTCTTTTAAGCTGACATAGAAACATTAAGAAACAGTCTTTGGGTCCAGCTATTCAACAAGTTCTGAATCCACCTAACTGTATAGTCACCTAGCTTGCATCGTTCCATCTTTTTCGTATGAATAACACGAGAAGCTTTGTCCAATGTTTTATTAAAATCTAGGCAAACTGTATTTATAGTATCCCTCTGATACAATGATAAGAAGAATGATAACATTAACTAGCATTTTTTAAATATAGCTCTTTGAAGTTTGCAAAGCACTTTACAGATATCTGAAGAAGGAAAGGAAGCTTCATCCAGCATGACTTGTTCTCAAAGAAGCCATGTTGACTCTTCATGATGTCTCCTTCTTTTACTAGGTAATCACTATAGTACGTTCCAGAATGTTGCTATGAGCCAAAGTCAAGCTTCCTGGCTTATAGCTTGCAAATTCCATTCTTTTTCCTGTTTTTGGAGACATGGGATATTTGCTCTTCTCCAGTCCCACATGGCCTCTCTGGTTCTCCATAATCATTCAGAAGTCTCTGACTTGCTCATTATTTTGGCATTCCGGAATGGAGCTCAGCTGGGCCAAGTTGACTTGAACTCACCAAGGGCATTGAGTAAGAGAGTCCCTAGCAGCCCTCCAAGAGTTCAAGTGTGCCTGAGAGGTAGTAGGCACTTAAATGCTTGTTGAACAGCGTTGAATTTGTTGACTTAACACAGAACAGAAACAGTTTATGCCCCTATCACAAATATTAACATCACTCCCTTTCTAGCCCTACCAGGACTGGTTTCTCCTGTTCGCCCCAAGTAGGGGGAGTTGGGGATGGAATTTTGGTCCATCTCACCCACAATGGAGGGATCAATAATGGATGTCCTGATTCCATCAGTTTTCGTAACCTGAGTCTCCACTAGCTTGAGCCGCCCTAGCTCCAGGAAACCTGAGTTGAGATATAGCCATCCCATGGGATTTTTTGGGGGAGGGGGTGTGGGAAGCAGAGATGGTTGAAGGACTGTCTGGAACTGGATCTGGGTGGAGCTTGTTACTTGTGGGCTCTGGAATTTCATGGATATAAGGGGCAGAGAAGCCCTAGGGACGAGAACCATTTGTCAGACACCTTGCTCTACTCTGTCTCTGGCAGGAATGGCCACCTTTGTTCCAGTAAGTAATGTTATTTCTGCCTCAGGAAGGGCTTGGGGAGTGACACCTAGGTAGATATCCTGGGAATTTATTTTCTTAGCATGTCCTGGCTAAGATGGGGTTACTTACTTGGATGCCCCTTTATCTAAGGGACTGTTAGCCTTGCTCAACCTCTGATGGGCTTGGGATAGAGTTGCTGGGTCCTGGCTCCTGCATTATAACAACACAGACATCTGTGTCCAAAGAACTTTCCCATCTACGGTCCCATTGTAGACTCACATTATACTTTTGACAAGAGAAAGATCAGGAATGGTTATGTCTATTTTCTGGGCTCAGTGGCCAATGCTTGGCCTAGCTGGTTCCTAATGGAACAGGGACCTGGACATAATTGTGACTGTCGCTGTTCCACAGGATCATTATCTGAACACAACTCCGCTGTGTCAATATGAACTAAGCATTTAGGTCAATAAAGACAATATAATTTGCTCACGGCTCGTTTTGGTGAGACAAGAGGCAAAGTAGGTCTTTGTCTCCAGATTTAGTCCACTGAACAGGAAGGGACCAAAGAGGAAGGACATTGAAGTGGCCCATTAGAAAGAGGCGGTGTGTGGTATGGTGAAAGGGCACTGGTCAGGGCATTCTAGGAGCTGGTTTTGAAACACAGCTTTGCGATGGCTAACTCAAAGCAATCCTTTTAATGACTCCAGGTCACAGTTTCCTCATCTTTCAAATGAGAGGATTGGATTAGATCAAGGGTTCTTAATACGGAATCCATCTGTCCCAAGCCTATGGACAGATGTCAAGGGGCTCCTTAACTTGGATGGGAAAAAATTAACCTTTTTTTAAAAATATAAATTGATTTCTTTTGTAACGCTGTGTATTTGATTGCATGCATTTTGAAACTTGATTCTGAAGAGTCCCTAAACCCTCCAGCCTGCCTCTCAAAGTGACCATGACACAAAAAAAGGTTAAAAACCCCTAGATTAAATAATAAGAGTGTCCCCCCCCCATTTAAAAACGTGTTTGCTCCTTTAAATGTGAAACTGGTCCTTGAAGCCAAGGTATTTTGAGGGGAGGGAGAAGCATACTAGCCTGTAAAAAAAAAAAAGATATTTGTCAGACAGGTCTCAAAGAATACAGAAGCCACTATGCCCATCGATGTGAGAATTTCTAAGCCTAAGGGGTGGCCAAAGGTCACTACCTCGGGGAATACTCCAGGCTAGACTCACTCTCCAGAATTTAGTTTTGGTTTTCTGTTGTTTTACATTTTATCGATGTGTTTTGTTTTTACATTACACGTAAGTATTGATTTATTTATTTATCTGTTTATTCATCTATCTAGGCCATATCAGGGTCAATCATTTTAGGAGAATACTGTTTGTAAGGCACGTGCAGGCATGAAGACATGGGCCACCCAACCCTAACTAACTATTCTCTCTCTCCCCTATAGTATGCTTCATGCTATCGGAAGAAGCAAGCCATGCAGATGCTGGGCCACAGTGGCTATTTCTCACTCTTCGCCAATCCTCCCTGCCTTGTTGCAGCGCGGAAGCCACTGCCCTGTCCAGCGCCCGAGATGACTCTTCGACAGATCAGTCGGCTTATTCGTGGGCTAAAGCAGCTGAGGCTCCGGGACAGTAGGATGTCCGAGGGCTCCCCACTGCCTGAACCCTCGAGGTGAGGTCGGGGGATCGGCGGAGCTACAACGAGGGTGGGGAGAGTATGGCTTTGCTACAGAGCACTGGGGAAGGGGGCTGCATCGGTCTTCTTCCTGGTACCCCACTGCCTCAGGGCTTCGATGCAGTACCCGGCACAATTTCCCTAAGCCATCCCCCTAAGGCAGTGGCTCTTAACCTGAGATTCACGGATAGATTTCAGGGGTCCATGAACTTGGATAGGATAAAAAAAAATATTATATCTTTACTTTCACCAATTGATATTTAGCATTTCCCTTTAATAATTAAAAAAAAGATCAAAAATATTATCCCAAAAAGACTTCACCAAATTGCCAAAGGGAACCATGACGAAAAGATGGTTAAGAACCCCTACCTAGGATTCTTCCACCATAGTGCTTCCCATGTGCAGAGAACCAGACAACCCCCCCCACACCCTACCCCAGGGCAAGTGTTAAACTACTCCTGATACAGCTGTGATGCCCTTGGACTCTCCTCTGTGCTACCACCCCCTCCCTCTCCCAGTTGCTTCTGCCTCAGGTAAAAACATTCTTAGCTATGACTTGGCATCAGGGTCTTCCTAGACCAGCATGTTCTCCAGCACAAATTAACGGCATCTGCCTACACTGCTCACCTCTTCCCTCCGTACTAAGCTCTTCCCATCTGCAACAAGTTCAAGGTCGAAATATTGGCAGGCTTTCCTAATTGGGAGGGTGAAGGACGACTTGTCAATTAGCTTCATTAGAAGCTGCCATCTTGTGGGCCACATCTACTGCAAGGAAAAGACGATAAGGTCTGGTTTGTTCTTACCTTCTCCCTTGCCTGAGACCTGAGGTCAGGACTTCCCTGGGGCTGATGATATTTCTTCCTCTTCCTCTTCTTCACAGTCCAAGCGGATCAGACAGCTTGCAGACAGCATCCAGGCATCCCGAGAGCTCTGAGGAGTCCTGCCTGCTCTGTTTCCTGAAGTGGGGGACATTCCCAGCACATCCTAATAGGGATGAAGAAGACAGGTCACTGAACTCTGCCTTGAAGGCTAATACCGGGATGCGGAGGGAAATGATTCTAATACACACACCCTAGCGGTCTTCATGGGTCTTGGTTTCCTCATCTATAGATCTTTAAAGTCCCTTAGAGCTCCAGACCCTTTGTTCCTGAGAGGAAACTCCAACCCAAGCCTTCCAAACCAGTCAACTTTACTTTGTAAAACTATCTTCCAAAGATGCTACCTCTCCTCTTCCCCAAGACATATACTCACAGAAAATAACTCAGCTTCTCCTTATTTCCACTATGCATGGGATATAAGCTCCTTAAGGACAGAGCCTGGTTCGTTCTTATCTCCGTATCCCTGTACCTAGCAAAGTGCCTGGCATATAGTAGGCACTTAACAAATGTTTACTGATTCATTGGTTCATATTTTGTTGGCATCTAAGAGGTGGGGAAAGCAAAAGTTTTCTTCCCATTATTCCATGTTTAATATTCATTCTTAACACTTTCTTAAGCCCAGACAATCACCAAAATGCGTCAAGTCCTGATTTGTAACAATTGTTTATTTTTGAGGCATAAATGCTCAGTTGAAAATTTAACAATCAGCTATCAGGTTAGAGCTGGCTCCAGTTACACCCCTGTAACTCTTTCTCATCCCCAGGGATTCTCTCTGGTTAGTTGAATGTTCACTCTTTAAGTCACTTCACTTCAATTCAATTCACCTCAATAAGCATTTATTTAAGATCTACTATGTTCTAGGCACTGGGAATACTTAAGTTGTCACCAAGCATGTTTAAGTACCTTCTATATGCCAGGCAGGAGCTGTGCTAAGTGCTAGGGATACAAAGAAAGGTAAAGCACACACACACACACACACACACACACACACACACACACACACACACAGAGAAAGAGAGAGAGAGAGAGAGAACAATTCCTTCCATTAAGGAGCTTATATTCCACTGAGAGAGTAACTTCTTTGAATTATATTTTTATAAAATGAGGTTGGTCAACATGACCTGTAAGGTCACTTATAGCCCCAAATCTGATTCTGATAACATAGGCATATTTTAAAGCATGCTAGCCTGTTTAAATGTGTCACCTCATACCAAACCAGGAAGATGAATTTGAGTTAAGACCCATAATGTTTTTTAAAAAATTATAATTTTTAAAAATTAAAAAAGACCCACAAAGTTGAGTGAAGGTGGGGAACTAGAGGCAAAGAACATTTGGAAATGTGATGATCCAAATAAAATAAAATATGCTTTGAGAAGAATACCATTGTGTCATTTCAATCACACTTGATTCTCAAATGTTCTGATTTTCTTCCTCAGTGAATTTTCTGCCTCTCTTTAAGCAGATCCTGTCACAAGTAGGCTACGTTGGGAGTTTGTGGATTTTACTACAGACTAAATGACCTTTGGTTCAGGATACTGCAGAAGGAGTTGGGAGATTCCTATTTGGGTCTGAGTTAGACTGGATGGCCTCCAAATCTCTCTGAGGAAGCTAAGGCACATAGCTATTAGAGTCAGGACTGGAACTCAGGTCTTTCCATGGCACCAAACACTGAGGCAGCTTTATATCTGCTGTGATATGGGCAGCTCCTAGATCACTGGTCCTTTAAGTTCCTGGCTTGACATAGTGTTTTATTAGGTTTCAGCTTCATGATTTTAACACCATTGTCTGCTCTGAAAAGAGTATCAATAAAAAAAAACAATGTGAATCACAGGAGCTTAATCACCTGTGTACCCTTTATTCTGAAATCACAGGGAAAGCCCCCGTTTGCCTCCTTATTGAATTATTCTGGTTTCCAATTACCCAAGACCGTCAACGTACAGATAAGAATGACACACCAAGAAACTGGTGTTCCCGTCTGTCCTTGTCATTTCAAGAGTTTACTTGGCCAGACTATTGCAAGTCAAGTTAAATCAACAAACCTATTAAACTACTCTGATGTGCCTAACACTTGTGCTAAGTCCTCAGTGGTACAAAGAAAGACAAAAAATCCCTGCTCTCAGGGACTCACAAAATCTCATAGGCTAATAAGGGAGACAACATACAAAAAGTGTGCAAAATATATAAGTCCATCATACCACACTGTCTGAAACACCTATAAAGACTGTAGCAAGCACAAAAAAAAATTACCGGTAATTAACATCATCCTGAATGGCTTTCACAGTGTAGTGGAAAGAGCATTGTAGTGAATTAAAGTGTCTTTGGATCTGCTATTAATTTACTGAGTGACCTTAGGTAACTTACTCTACCTCTGTTAGCTTTAGCTGAAGAAGAAGAAGGAGGAGGAGGAGGAGGAGGAGAAAGAAAGAAGAGGAGGGGAGGAGAAGGAAGAGAAGGGGAAAGTCTAGAAGATGAATGGGTGGATTTTGGAGGAAAGATAATGTGTCCTGTTTTGGACGTGTTGAGTTTAAAATGCTGCTACCAGGAAGACCAGTTTGAAATGTCCAATAGGTAATTGGTGACTTAGGACTGAATGAAGATCAGTTGGGTGATTGGGGTTGGCTAAATAGATGGCATTGGCACGTAGATGCTAATTAAACTATAGGAAGTGAGGAGGTCACCCAGTAGGAGAACGTAAAGGGAGAAAAGCAGACCTAGTAAAGAGCATTGAGGAATATCCAGTTAGGAGGCAGGATCAGGACACAGATGATAGCTAGCAAAGGAAACAGAGAGCAGAAATGGCCAGATGAATAAGAGAAGAATGAGAAGACAAGAGTATGATGAAAACTTGGAGAAGGTCAAGTACCACAAATAGGGCCTGCTTTACAAAGGGATGAAAAGGATCTCTAAAAGTTAATGGTCCCTGAACTGGAAGGCAATTATAACTGGATGGGAAGGAGAGAGAGAGAGGGGAAGGCAGAAAAGAAGTCTGAGTGATAGAGTGAGATGAACGATGTTATTTTGTTTTGTGCATTTGAAATCCTTGAAAATTCTATTATCATGCCATTTCCACTGTTGGCTGTTATACAGTATAATGGAAAGACCTAAGCTTGAGTTCTGGCTCCAACACTTAATAGTTTTGTGACTCTGGGCAAAGCACATAAATGCCTCAGTTTCTTTATCTGTCAGATAGGGATCATCCTTGTACTACCTCCTTCCAGGGATTGTTGTGAAGAAAGCCCTTTGTAAACATTAAAGAAATAGATGAACATGAGCCCCTTTATTCAAATACTCTTTTGATGCCTCAGCCTGGGGATCCTATGACCTGAAATCTTGAAGATCATGTCAGTGATGCCCAAGCTTTGGCAGGGTCTACCAAGTTGGAAAAGCTCTGAGGGTAGGTCCTACCACACACTATGTATTGTTTTTTTGTTTGTTTGTTTGTTTGTTTTTGGTTAGGCAATGGGGTTAAGTGACTTCCCCAAGGTCACGCAGCCAGTGAGTGTTATGTGTGTGAGGCCGGATTTGAACTCAGGTTCTCCTGAATCCAGGGCCAGTGCTCTATCCACGATGTATTGTTTATCCAAAGACCAGCCTAAACTCAGAATGATTCCTCTCCAACTTGCCTACAGGCTGGTTAAAAAAAAAAAAGATTTGGTCCAGCAACTAATGAATGAATGAAGACCATTTAATTAGTTGTGGTTGAGTTGGGCTTCATGTTGGGGAACCAAAGAATCACAGACCCTTGAAGTACTGAATATAAATATGAGTTTTTCTCCCTATTCTCCTCCTCACTGCAAATAAGGGCTTTTCAACTTTTGGGATTTGTTAATACGAAGGATGAGAAGCAAAGTATATTTACTACTTTCTCACATTTGGGGACCTACAGTATGGAGATTCCACCAAACATTATATTTGTTAATGACAGCAGATCCTAGGATCTGGAGCTAGACTGGAGATCCTGTCTTCCTATCAACCCATCTGTTCTGGTCTGGGCTCGAGTCAGGCCAATCTCCTGGAAATTTATATTTAACATTGAAATGAAAGAAAACACCAGTAGATGGGTCCTGCAACAGTTAACAAAAGGAAATTTACTTAGCCATAACACACAAGTTGCTTATTCTTGTTTGCCTCAGTTTTCTCATCTGTAAAATGAGCAGAAGAAGGAAATGGCAAACCACTGCAGTATCTTTACCAAGAAAACCCCAAATGGGGTCGGACTTGATTGAAATGATTTAACAACAACAGCAGAAGGGTATTCAAGAAGGATGTGTGTTGATAACAAACACCCTAAGCTGATTGTGGTTAAGGGAGAAGGCCCTGAAGAGGCCCAGCTGTTGGTCCTGAGGTTCATGCAACGAAGCGAAGTTGAGTAAAGCTCTCCTGCCCGAGTTGTCTTCGGTGGTTCAATACCACCACACACCTGGAGGACATTCATTCTCGGCAAACATTCCCATAAGTGTTAGAAGGGAAGCCCCTTGTGGGCAGGGGCTGTCTAGCTTTCTAGTCTTTACATTCCCAGAGCTTAGGAACAAGTGTGACTCTTCTGTACTCAGGCTACTAGGAAATAATGACCACAGTCTGTGCCTTTAGTCCCCTGAGCCAATCAGCTCTCAAGGATGGTTTAAATACCATTTAAGGAAGAAAAACCCAACAGCCTAACTTGCCTGCGGGGAGGGAGAGGTGGGATAGGTAGGAATGTCATCTTAAAGATCAACCAATCAACGACCAAGAATTAAGCCTGGAATCTATGGGAGGCGTTGGGCAAAATGTTCTGGGGACTCAGACAAAAATGAAATCTCTGTGGTCTCAAGGTAGTGAGTTTTCTTGGCAATATGTGTAAAATATAAGCATAAACAAATATGAGGTCATTTATCACAAGACGGCACCAACAGCTGGGGGATCAGAACACGCTTTGTGCATAAAGTGGTGCTGGGGCTGAGTCTTAAAAGAAATGAAGAATTCTACAGGGTCAAGATGAGAAGGAACTACATTCCAGGCCAGGAGTGCAAAAAGCATGGAAACCAGAGACTCCCTGCTTGGGGCAGCTAGGTGGCACAGTGGATAGAGCACCAGCCCTGGAGTCAGGAGGACCTGAGGTCAAATCCA